CGGCTAAAGAAAACATCAGCAAAACGAAAAGGGAACCAGCTGTATAGGAAAATATATTTGCCAATGACACCTCAGTCAAGGGTTTGATCTCCAAAACATATAAAGAACTCAAATGACTCCACTCCAGGAAGACAAACAATCCAATTAAAACATGGACAAAGGACCTGAACAGATACTTCTCCAAGGAGTACATACACAGGACCCAGGCACATAGGAAAGGATGCTCAACATCACTAGCCATCAGAGAAATGCAAATTAAAACCACAATGAGATACCACTTCACACCAGTCAGAATGGCCATCATAAACAAATCAATAAACAAATGCTGGCAAGGTTGTGGAGAAAAGGGAACCTTAGTACACTGTTGTTGGGAATGCAGACTGGTTCAGCCAATGTGGAAAACATTTTAGAATTTCCTCAAAGCACTAAAAATAAAACTGTTTTTTGACCCAGTGATTCCATTGCTGGGATTATAACCTAAGAATCCCAAAATGCCAATTCAAAAGAACCTAAGCATCCCAATGTTCATAGCAGCACAATTTACAATAGCCAAGTGTTGGAAGCAACGTAAATGCCCATCAGTAGATGATTGGATCAAAAAACTATGGTACATTTACACAGTGGAATACTACGCAGCAGAAAGAAAAAAGAACTACTAAACTTCACAACAGCATGGATGGAACTAGACAGCATTATGCTAAGTGAAATGGGCCAGGGGGTTAAAGACAAATACCATATGACCTCACCTATAAGTGGAACCTAATCAACAAAACAAACAAGCAAGAAAAATATAACCAGCAACATTGAGAGAAAAAAGAAGCCTACAGTAATGAGAGGGAAGGAGGGAGATAGGTAACAGGGAAAGGAATGGGAAGGAACATGTACAAAGAACCCACAGACAAAGCCAAAGTGGGGAAGGATTGAGGGTCGAGGTGGAGGTGGGCGGGGCAGGGAAAAGTGGTGGCGGGAAAATGGAGACAAATGTATTTGAACAAAAAAAAGAGTTATGTCTTTTTCATGAAATGATAAAAAAAAGAAACAAAACATTGTTCTCAAATAATATGATTTCTACATAGAAAACCCACATATTCTATCCATATTTATTGAAATGAATAAGATTTTTTATCAAGGTTCTAGATTCAGGGTTAATATTCTAATATCAATTTTATTGTATAAATAAGCAACAGTCAATAGTTAAATCACAGATATGGTGTTTACTAAGAAAAAACATATAAAGTAATTATAAATAAAAGTGAAGATAGTTAAGTCTTTTATCTTGAAAGAAATTAAAGAAAATTTTAAAAATTAAAGAAAAGTTTGTCCATTTCAAGAAAGTCAAGAAAATTCAGTATCAATATCTAAGAGAAGAAATGTATCTAAAGAAGACATTTTTATCTGAATAAACTTCAAGCTCTATGACAGAAGAATATGCCCTAATATGAAGACATGATTTGAGGTAGCTTGTCCAGGAACTATCTCTTTAGTAGAGATAGTTTATGCTATCTTTACCTCGCCACCTGCCTTGATCATCAGACAGAAGTTCTGGATATAATATAAAAATCATGCAATTTTTTCCAAATTAATATATAGATATCATGCAACTTGAGCAGAATTCCTAACAAAGATTTTTAGATAAAATTTGACAAGCTGATTCTAACAGTTTGTAAGAGCGGCAAATGCTCAAAGATAAGAAGAGCAAGGTGAGGGGGTTTTCTCTACCTGGAATTTAGAAACACTGTGAAGCTATAGTTCTGAAGACAAATGATGGTGGTGAAGGAAAAATAAACAGGCAATGAAAGAGAATAGAGAGCCTGGAAGCAGATCTAGTCATTTAAGAAAATCTGGTATAAAAATTAGCTAATATTGCACATAAGTGGTTATTCATAGAAGGGAAATGGAATTTATTTCCTATGTTATACTACACATAGATAATAATTATATGTGAATTAAGAACTGAAACATGAAAGATAAAACAGGAATTTCAAAGAAAATGCAGGAAAATATATTTATGACCAACGATTTTAAAGTATCTCATGCAAGACTTCCTATAAGACTTTTATGAAAGACATGAGAGATACTTTGACTATACTTAGATTAAAATTTTCTGTTTTCAGAAGTCATAATAAGATGAACCACGACAATTACAACACATGTAACTAAGAAAAATTATGCTCAAGAGTATACAAAAGCTCATAAAAATCCCCAAGTAAAAGATGAAAAGACCATTAGAAAAATAAAGAAAGACATGCATTTAACAAAAAAGAGACGTGAGTGGTGAGCGCACAGCACTCATAGAAAGAGAGCAGACAGTTAACGCATTGAAAATCAGGGAAATGTAGGACATCCTTATCGTGGTGGAATAAGAGCTTCTACTGTCTTTCCCCCACGAGTGCTGACTCAGACAGTCACCCATGGACAAGAGAGCCTTTGTGGAAGTCCAGCAGTCCAGCTAAGAAGCTGCAGCATGCCACTAGAGTAAAAAAAAGTCCAAGACTGAGTGCACTGAAGAGGGTGAGAAGAACATTTCAGTTTACCTACCTCACCTGTCCCACAAGGAGACACAGCTCAGGGCCAAAAGAGACCTTACTGGCTTGTAAATTGTCCCATGAGGAGAAGTGAGTGAGAGCACGTGAGTGAGTTCTTGGCTCCCCAGCTGTATGGAATGCTTCCAGAAACCTACTTTTTTCCCACCCCATCCAGAAGGCTGAAGTGAGCTGCAGACTGAGAACACTGCAGGATAGAAAGTGGCTGAGAAAGTGGCAGACAGGGCTCTTGGCGGTCAGCAAAGGGATGTGGAGCCTACTGACCGCCTCACAGACTCCATCAAGACATCCTCCCACAAGTTGCTGGGGATGCCACTCTTGCGGATCCCCCAACTGGCCCAAGGGCACCCCTAGTGTTCAGGGTGCTTCACCCACATACGACACACCCACACTATGGCCACTTCTTTGTGTACACAGTGAAGACAGCAAGAGTGAACCTTTGTAGAGAAGGGAGAACAAAGTTGGAGGCAACATGCTCCCTGATTTCATATATTACAAATCTATAGCAATGAAAACAATATGGTGTTGGCAAAAAAACAGACGCACAGATCAATAGAATGGAACTGAGAACCCAGAAGTACACCTACACATCCACAGGCATATGGACAATTGATATATGGCAAAGAAGTCAAAAACAGACAATGGAGAAAAAAATCATTTATTCAATAAATGGTCTTGGGAAAACTGGACAGCCACAGGGGGAAAAATGAAACTAAACCACTATCTTACACCATATTCAAAAATTAACTGAACGTGGATTAAAAGTTTGAATGTAAGACCTGAAGCCATAAAATTCATAGAAAAAAACCATAGGCAGTAAGCTCTCTGACATAGGTCTTAGTAATATTTCAGTGGATTTGACTTCAACAGCAAAGGAAACAAAAGCAACAATCTAACAAAGAAAATCAGCCACAAAACAAAAAGGCAACCTACCGAATGGGAGAAGATACTTGCAAATCATAAACCTGTTAAGGAGTTAGTATTCAAAATATATAAAGAACTCATACAACTCAACAACAACAACAACAACAACAAAATTATCCCATTTTAAAAAGGGCAGAGGATCTGAATAGACATTTTTACAAAGAAGACACACATAGCTAACAGGCACATGAAAAGATGTTCAACATCACTAATTATAAGAGGAATGCAAATAAAAATGAGATGTTACCTCATATTTTGAGCACAGCCATTATCAAGACAAGAAATAACAAGTGTTAGAAAAGATGTGTGGAAAAGGATATAGTGTTTGTGGGAATGTAAATCGGTGCAGTCACTGTGCAAAACAGTATGGATATTCCTCAAAAAATCAAGAATAGGACTACCATATGATCCAACTATTCCACTTATGGGATATTTATCTGAAGAATATAGTTACTAATTTGAAAAGATCACTATGTTCATTGCAGAATTTTTTACAATAGCCAAGATATGGAAACTACTAAGTAACCCAAAGAGCCCCTCTGTGAGGACAGCTGTGTTGCAGTCAGATTTGGGGACATGAGGGAGAAATTTGATAAAAATTGAAATGAGGAGGACTGTAGAAATTGTTCTGATTGCACATGAGCACCAGCTACGCCATGTGTTACCGCTACAGCTGGGAATGACTTTCTTCAAACCACTGGTGGTGAACTTAACTCAAGAGAAGATGAGGGACTAAACTGTTTAAAGACAGAGAGGTACTAGGTCATCAAGATGGAGTCCTGCAAGACTGCGTCACTGATGAAGACACTGGTAACTTGTGGGTACCAAGTTTTGAACTTCCGAGTGTCCTTCTATTCCTGCACATATTACAAAACCAAAAGATAAGAAGTTGTTTTCCGTTCAACTTCAAAAGAAAGTCTTATTTGCAGTCTCTAAAAATTACAAGCTGGTAGCTGCACCATTATTTGGATTGTATGACAATACACCAGGGTACGGACCCATCATATCTAGTCTTTCTCAGCTTTTGAGCTGGTTCAGCTTTGTATATACTGAATTTTATATATATCCTGCACAGTGAAGAAGTAAAAAAAGCCACCTCTGTGAGCTGTGTAGGGTATACAGTAAACATGATAGAAAAATTGTTTTTGTTTTATCTCTTCCCCAACCCCTAAGTTGCCACCTGCTTTCTATTGTTTGCATAGTAAAGTTGATATAAACAACTAGACAACAGAGCGAACACAATGTGATAATGGTTTATTTGCTTTATTTCTATGAATACCTTTTTGTATATTAAAGAAAGTAGAATTTTTTTATGTGTATTTTTTAATTTCACATTAAATTTGAAAAGTTCTTACAAAAAGAAAAAAAAACCCACAAGAATATGTTTTCAAACTGACAGATCATTCCCCGATAGTATGAAGAGCAATCAGTTACCGTAAAACAAAGCTAATACACCAGTGCCATCTCAGATGTTGGCCAGCCTGCAGGCCCTTTGCCCCCAAACAGAGCCCTCAACCTGCAGAAGTCCCATACCGTGCATTTGTCCTAAGGTTCTGGTCATGTCCTGAATGGAGAGTCTCAGTTGCTGCAGGGCTTGGAGCAGGGAGTACTGGTTGGCCTGCAAGATGGCATTCACTGCTTGAACAAGTGCCTGGGGAGAAGATTCATTCATGCAATTCATTAGCATTCACTACTGTCCACTGGGGGAGGTGAGCTGAGCATCAGAGCCATGGGAATCAGGGGAAGGGCACCCTTCTCACTGCCAGACTTTTGCAGGGTTCCCCTAAACTAGATTTGCTGTGAGGGCTGCCCGAAAGGATAATCTATCTGGGCATTTCCCAGATAGACCCTTCGATATGTTTTTCTGGATCTTTCCTCTAATTGCTACTTCTTATAACTCTCAGGAGCATAACTCTGTCATTTCTCTCCTTCCTTCTTCTGTATTTATCACACATTCTCATCGTATCTACATCTGTATCTTGAATTAGGGCACCCTCACTTTTGAGCTTTGTCTTTCCTAAAAGCAGACATTCTATAGAGCTCGTGCAGCATTTAGTTCTAGAGCCCCCTCCGTCATGAAGCCTTCCTAGCAGTCTCTACCTTATCTGAGGGACTCACCACGCTGATGAGAAGTCAAGTGACCACATAGTTTCACTTTTGAGAGTGACAGAGGGTGCTATAATTCTTATGCTATGACTGGTGAGGTGACCCTACTGAGGCCATAGTGAGGACTCAAAATGGGCTTACCAGGGAAGGTGGTGAGGAAGGACAGACATCTAACGAATATCTTTTGGCAAGGCATGGATTCTCTGGCTCCATCCCCTGCTGCTCTGCTGTCTTTTGTCTTCCTAAACCTGACCTTTCTGAAACTGCCTGACCCCTGAAGGAATTTAAGTTTACAACCCCCCAGGGCTAGGTGAGCTCAGTGATCATTCCTTTTCCTCTGAGCCTTTGCACAGCAGTTCTCTCTGCCAGAAATATGTCTGTCTGTTTGGCTTTCTGTCATTTTCTTTCTCTCTCTCTGTTTCATTCCTACATATCACTCAGGTTTTAACTTTAGCTCTTTCCCCTGGGCAAGCTTTGCCTGACCCTTCAGTTCTGAATTAGGTTTGAGATGTCTTTTCATGAAACACTGCATTTTTTTTTTTTAAAATTACCCTATTCATCAACCCATCTTTCTCCATTAGACCATGAGCTTCCGTGCCAGACACAACAGTGTCTGTCTTGTTCTCCCAGATATTTCATTGTCCAGAGCACTGCTTGTATGTTGAATGGACAAATAGTCAATTACAGGTTTTACAGGAGCTGGGAGAAAGTAATAGCTCTGAGGCAGGAGATAGGAAGGAGGAAACTCCACAGGCACCCCAGGGCTAAGATTAAAAAAACATAGATAAAGGACAGAGACCCTGTTCTAAGACTGGTATTTCCTGCTTTCTGGGAAAGCACTGCATCCTAATGAATCATGAATGCACCTGCGCAGAAGATGCTAGCTGACCCCTGCTTCATTATAATAGCATTATAAAAAATGAGCATTGTGGGACCCTTCTTCCCAATGGCCAATCAAGGAAATCATGGGAGACCACACATGCAGTAACTTTCAAGTAATATAACTATTTATACATGTGCAATAAAATCCCACCAAAACTAACCAGGAGAGGCCTGCCCTATAAGAATAAAAACCCTCTAGCCCCTGAGGTCTGGCCTGTTAGGCTCTGCTGAGCTCTGCTCTACTCGAAGTTGGCCTGCTCCCATGTTCTGTATGGTTTAATAAATCTGCTTTCTCTCACTTTCTGCTGTAGACTCTGTGTGATTGGTTCAATTTTTTGTCCACAGTCACCAAGAACCTAATTACCTGTGCCCACCTGTGACAGCTCTGTGGGCTAGAACTAAACCTCTTTCCTCAGACATAAACCAACAGGACAAGGCCTTCGCTCATCTTTGTAATTCACAGAAGGGAAAGAGATGGAATAGGGAGTAAAGCTCAGATTAATTCCTCATTTAGGAAAAAAAAATGCTGTGGGTGAAAAGATACCTTAATCCCAGGTACTGCTGCTTTCTCCACCAAAAGAGTCACCAGTATAAAACCACGCAGGCTTTCTCCCCCAGGAAATGAGAAAATGATATCCAAGTTCCTTGGGAAGGAGATGACCATATGGTTAAAGAAGCTTGGACACCGTGAGTATGCATGGGCCATAGGTCCCCTCAGAGTTAGACAAGTTCATCTGATCTGAGGACTCTCAAAGTCCAGGATGGCCCTAATGGTCCCAGGCCATCCACCCAACGGGACAGGTGAAGCATGAATGGTCATGTATTTCCGCTTCCTCACAGGACCAATCTATGGCCCGTCACACCATCCGTGTCAGGGGCACAGGCTCTTAGATGACCTCAAGCAACAGCTAATTCCTTATAAATATAATACATAAATATATGTATGTCTCCCAAAGAAGCAAAATAGCTTGCCCAAGGTCACATAGCTGGTTAGTCACAGGACCAGATGGGGAATAATTTCGTAACTCAGGATAGTGCTCTCTCTAATATATCTGTATTTTGTTTTGTATAATAGGGTGAGAGCTAGAAGATTGTATAGAGGAAACACTTTTAAATGACCTATGATGATATAAATTCAAATATCCCAGATACACAGCCAGCCTACAAAACTTAAAATATCACTTCACAAATCACTCCTGCTTCTAACACATTAAGCATGAGAAAAAAGGAAAAACAAACACAAAATAAAACTAAGTAAAGGATACCACTGTTGCAGCGGTTCCGTTACTGTGGGCAAAGGTGCCTTCATCCTTTCATCCCTTAATTTCCTGAGCTACAGCTTTTATACTGAACCCCTTTATTGTGCCGAGGTTTGATGATACAAGAGGCGATGCCAGTTTAGACGGTAACTTCACTCTCCAGAGAAAGAGGAGCCTAAGGTGTCTCGGCCAGACCTGCCTCAAGTGCTCCAGCCCCTGTAACACATTATTTCAAAGGAATTCTTCTGTGGCTGAAGCAGCCTCTGCCTGCAACACAACCTTTTGCAGAAGTTATGGTGAGATGAGAGGTCTTTTTCAGATCATTAAAGAATTGATGAAGTTTTGTCTTTTGCATTGTGTTGCACTTTACTTGTTTTATTATGTACAGAACTGGGATTATATAGTAAAGAAAATTAACCCCCAATTTTCCTTACAAAGCAGAGGCAACCACTGTTAAATTTTACACCGTTAATTTTGGTACCTTTCCTTCTATCCTTATTTTTGCATGCACTTGTATATAGCTTACACACTATACATACAATTTGGTATGCTTTCATTCTTGTTTTGTTGTAATCTTTTAAAGTTAGCATGGATTCTCAAGTGAGTGAAGGATTTCTGAGAACTTACCTGATGTCCAGGGGTCTAGTTAAATTTCAGTTATTGACAACCACAAATGTAAAAAAGAAAATAAAAGAACAAATCAGTTTGTTAACTAGGGTCATATGTACACAGGCACACACACTCATGTGCAAATGCACACATACATTAACATACGCACAGGCTGGGACTAGACTACAGGCCACCATGTGACAAACAGTGAGCCAAGTCTCAACTCATATGTCAGCCCCAGGACATTTAACCAGCTGCATCATGATAAATTATATTGCTCATTTTATATTTGTGCAACCACCACAAATCCATATTTTTGTTGTAGGGACTCTACTCCAACTCACATTTTAACACCTACTTTAGATCAAGTTCAACCCTCTCACAAAGCTTTTTCCTAATTTTAAAGCCTGCCTTGGTGTAATTTCTCAGAAATTCTAAAGGTTTATTGTTTGTGTCACCCTGACATTTGCCATGAATTGCTTTATTTTGTTATATAACCACTCTGGGTGAACTTTGCTTTCATTTCTTCATTTCACTTAGCTCTGTGCCAGGCATATTAAGAAACTAAAACAAATAATAACTAAGAAGAAGAATAACTACTTAACCCTGGGACTCTGCATCTCTGGGATTAAACTAGCTCTTCATTCTCACCCACTGAGAAACTAGCTTTTTGTTGCTGCACTTTTGACTTTAACATCCTAGTCCAGCGATTTTTCCCTTCAACCTTCCCCACTCCTCTCTCTCTATTTTTTAAATTCTTTTTTAAAAAAGATTTTTATTTATGTATTTTTTTTAGAGAGGGGAAAGGAGGGAAAGAGGGAGAGAAACATCAATGTATGGGTGCCTCTTGCATGCCCCCTACTGGGAGAGGGGACTTGGCCTGCAACCCAGACCTGTGCCCAGACTGGGCATCGAACTGGCAACCCTTTGGTTCACAGGCTGGCATTCAGTCCACTGAGCTATGCCAGCCAGGACCCTTTCTCTTTGAATTAGAGATTCAGTTTATTAAATATTCAATGTCTTGACCAGAATTATTTTTCCACATCTATTTATTTTTTCATTCTGTCCAAATTCTGAGCCAGATTCAGCACCTTTCCATAGGAGTATTAGTCACCAACTTTGTTATTAAAGCAGAAATTGTCAAAGGTCGTAATTCATCATTATAGAAACCAAAATCCCAGGGCTCAGAAGTCCTTAGACAGATGAGCGGGGCCCAATCTCACTCCAGGGACACATAAATTAGTCCTAAAAGCTACGTTCTTTATTAAGCATTTAATTCTTTAAAGAATATTCCCATCACCTGGGGCAATCCGGTATTTACCCACAACACTGACGCAAAAGAGGTTCTTCCCTCACATATAACTTACATGTCCCTTTAGCTATTTTAGTAAAGCACCTTAGTGTTATCTCTTGCATCTATAGCCTGAAATAAATTTGGTTGTGAAAATAAAGTTCAAAGGGAAATTTAATACTTTGCCACTTCCACCCTAATCCATTTACTGCAACTTCTTGTTTTTAAAAACTCATGCTATTTTTTTTCTTTAGACAAATACCAATATCCCCAATCCAACTGTCAAAGGAATTATGCCAGTCAGGCAGAATGGATAGCATTATTAATCAAAATTTTAACCTGACATACCTAGATCACATACTCTGAATTCATACGTAATCATTCATTTATGATTATTGTATAACGATCATTTATGGAAGTTCCTGGTCCAAACTTGACTTGAATGGAGGGCATGTTAGGGGTGATTGCAGCCTGACTGTGCAGGAGCTTTAGGGTCAGGTAGAGAAATTACAATTTGATACAGAAGCAAACAAATAAAACTGGTCTGCACCAATGCATTCGGTGTGAGTTGAGAGGCTATTTCTGGGACCTGTGATTTTTGAACTTTTATTCAAATTCATCTCTTCTTCACAACCATAAAACAGACAATAAATGTGAACATTGTTAATCACAAAATAGCTGAAAAAGCCTGGGCCTTTCTGGCAGAGGGAGTACAAGTCACAAGACTGTCCCTTACTCAGTTTCCATTTGTTCAAACGCAAAGCACTCTTTCTTTTCCTTACCTTTCAGGATCCTTTGTAGTCCAGTTCGTCAACACCAAGTCTGCGTGGACTAGGATAGGAGGGAGTCCCAACTTCCTGGAGACTTCCACAAAGGGAAGGGCAAGATTTCTAGGCAGAACCTTTTAGATGTAAATCCTCACAATTAGCACATTCTAGAAAGGATATAATGGAGAAAGTAATGATGGCTCTCTTATTCCAGTGAACCTGTGGCAGAGAAACAACTTGGGGATAAATGGGGATTAGTTGAGTGATCTGTACACGTACAATTTACTCTCATCATTTTTCCTGTTAACAGCCCAGTGGAGATATTGTTTATGAGTGCAATCTGAAATTCATGTGGAAAATTATAAGACTGGAACACACATATACATATAATATAAAATAGTACCTGAATATGAAGTATGCAAAGAAGGGCATTGCCAAAGGTTTAAGCATAAATTGGGGGCTGAAGTGATGAACAGTAGGAAAAAAAAAAATCTATGTAAATCTACCTATCTACCTACCTACCTATTTATATGCATAGATATGTAGATATATGTATATAAAACTAAGAGTATGTATATGTCATACATGGACATGTGTGTGTGTTTAGGTGTCAGTGAGAGAGAAATGGGAAGGATAGAATAGCCAATCCTGTGTGGGCACTGATTCCATCATCCACTTCGTAAGTCAAACCCAACAACAACTTCAACTAAGTCACCTCAGGACAGTCTCTAGCCCCTAGTCACATTTAGCCCCTAGGTTACCTGAGTAACTCTTGAGTTATGTGGGGCACTCTGAAGAGGCTTATCTGCCCATAAATCCAGGAAAGCAACTCAGATCCATGGAGGGGTGTCTATCTGCGGACAAGGCTAGTCTAGATCCCAAGAAAACATCCTTAGGTTCCCTTTCTCCCATTTTCATTTTACTTACTCTTCAGATAGCAACATCTATTTAGAAGCCTTGCTTCTGCTTTTGTTTTTCCTTACAATATTTTAAAATAGACTTGGGATAGAGCAGTTTCTTAGGTAAAAACAATGAAGAGGTTTATTTTATTTTATTTATTTATTTTTAGAGAGAGGGGAAAAGAGGGAGAAAGAAAGGGAGAGAAACATGGTGTGCATGTGTGAGAGAAACAGCGACTGGTTGCTTCTCTCATGCCCCCAGCCAGCGACCTGGCCCACAAACCATCCATGTGCCCTGAATGGGAATCAGACTGGCCCACAGGTCAGAGCTTAATCCATTGAGCCACATCAGCCAGGGCAAGAGCTTTAAAGAGTTTTAAAATTCAAACTTAAGTCAGCTTCCCTCAGGAGGCAGGGCAGGAGGATAGTGCAGAAGGGCGGTGTCTATTTAGACACAAAGAAAGTGAGATAGGATCCGAGGCCGGAAGACAGGGGGCTCACGGGGCCTGGAAGTACAAAAATATGCGACTCCTGTCACATTTCTCTACCCCTTCCCTGAGGTGGTATTATGGTTTGGAGACCAGGTTGGGGAGGGAAACCCAGTGGGTTATTGTGGGCCTAGATATTAAACTTTCCAACACCAGAAACATGATTTAAAAAAAGTTATACATACTGACTTTTTTTACTTTTACTAACATTTGTTTTATGTTAAATTTACTTCTGGGCCATAAATTTTTGTTTCTTCTGTGCAACCTGCTCTTCTGATTTAGGAACAATCTGCTTTTTCTCAGTAAGGATCACCGCAATATGGCAGGGAAGTGCTGCGGTGAATCTTGGGAGCTTTGTTCACATTATGTGCTCAGTGACCACAGAATCTATATTTAAACCCTTAAGTTCAGCATTACTCTCTGCAGTTTTAAGCACATGCAGCAAAAACTCAGCACCCTTTTTGGTCCACCAACTCTGCATCCAGCCCCAGTGACCATGCATTGAGCCCCACCATTTGGCCTGGGCACAGCTAACCAGCTCCACTATTGCAACAATGGAATGGCACACATTGCTTCTCTCAAGTGTCATCCTTTGGGTACTTGGTGGCTTTTCAGATATACATACCTTTGATGGCCTGGGCAATTTCACATGTGTTCTTAAAGTAAACCTGAAGATCTGAGCCTCTTGATTTGCATGACTTTGTGGGTTTTTCTGGGCCAAGTAGTGAACTATTTTCAGAGGTCACCTCAGGCTGCTGCTTATAGGAAGTGTTAAACTGATATTTTAAAAGTCCGAAGCAGCTCTATACTTTTCTTTCTCCCTTTCCTTTCTTATTCTCACAGGGAGTTGCAGGTATTCACTTGAGAGATAAGAAGTAAAATCAACCAGGCAAACAAAATGGGTGTTCCCATTAACCATGGAGGGCCAGAAGAAGAGCTCTGATTTCTGGAAAAGGTACATTTATATCAAATAAAAGGCAGTCATGTTTTACACAGCAATTAGTGGAACTTGGAGACTTCATGTCTCAAGGCTCAGGCTGACACTGTAAAATGTTATGCAAAGGTTCGGAAAAGATGTAAATGAATTATTAAGAGACAAACCAGTAATTGGTAGAGAGCAAGCAGTGGTATTGTAAATGTCAGTGTATGCCCCTGGAAGAAGGAGTTTACATTAACAAAATTAGAAGGTTAAGGGTCTGGACTTGGATTTTCCACAAACTTGCCACCTGACTTTGGACTTCTTGTAGTCCTCAACTGTCCATAAAATGGGCACAGCTTAGCTCTAGTTTCCTTATGGGACTGTGAAAATTGACTGAGATAATATATGTGCTAGGAGTACAAGCTGTAAAATGTGAGCTATCGTTAAGTTTTTTAGACAACCTCAAAACTTGCTTTCAAATTCAACCCTTCAAACATTCCTGGAAGAGGATGTCAGAAAAAAATAGATTCTAAAAGTAATAAAAGGCTACCAGTTCTAAAGAAAACTAACTTCCTGGTCAGGGAGAAAAACTCTCCCATTTAAACGCGCCCTTTGCCCTTTCTTCAACTGACACCTAAGAAAAGAACAAGAAAGGACCCATTTTCCAGGAAAACATTGTGGTACAAGGCAGGCAGACCTGCCCGATGACAAGACTTCTATTTATCCTTTACCTGTTCAGGCTGTGCCTCCCCTTCCTGCCAGACATATCCCATGGTAATAAAGCTCAGGACCACGTGGGCCAAGCGCTGCTCCCGATGACTCTTGAGGAACTCGCAGTTCAGCAGGGGCATCTGTGGAAGAGAATTTCCAGAGATTATCTGTTGGAAAATGCCCCCCCTGGTTTCAGGGACTGTAGCCCTGCCGACAGGCAAGAGGGCCCCAAGGCTGGAAATAATCTAGGAGGCCTTGGGAAAACAGGCCACTAAGGAGATGAAATTTGTCCCCCTGGCAGGAGCTCAGACCCTGCCCCCTTCGCATCACCCAGCTTGGCCCTGTGATGGTTGCTTGTTGATGATGGGTAAGTTTTTCTCATGAGGAGAAAATGACCTAAGACAGACATCAGCCGGTATGGGCAGCAGACACGGGCTTGGGGGACATGGAGAAAGGGCAAAAAGGCCTGCACCCCTCGGCTCAGCTTGGACTTGGCCAGAGTCCTCATTCTCTCTGAAAGAAGTCTCTGTCTCTAGGCGGCTCTGCCCCGCCTGCCTGGCTCAGGCTTGAAACAATGCTAAAGGCCCTAAACTGGATCGGGCAGTTCCGCGGACAATTAGGCCTAGAAGTTCGTTCCTCTAAGCATGCTTTGTTCTTCCCTCAAAAGTGATGATAACCGGCTCATACTGGGAAGGAGATTTACATTATTCATAGACCCTGACCTGAGGCAGATCTCTTGTGTTCCTCGAGTTGTTATCTATAATCTCTGTCTGTTTTCAGTAAACATAGCCTTTTGACATTGATTGATGAGCTTTGCATCTATACCCCTGTGCATATGGTTCTCAATAAAAGCCTTTGGACACAGCGTTTGGGGCCTTCTCTCCCCTAGAAGGAAGAGCCATGCTCCTCTCCAGGCAAACAGAGAAATGTTTGCAATGACTTGTGTTTATCACCGCTCCCCCCCCCGGTCATCCGTGACAATCTGGGACGGGCTCTGCAGGATTCAGAGCCCCTCTCCCTCCTCAGTAGGCTCCGGACAGTAACCCTCAGATCCAGGAGCGCCTGTGCTCTCTGCTCCCCCTCGACGCGTTGCTCCCTGTGACAGTTATCAGTTGCAGGGACAAGATGGCCACAGGGGTACTGAGACTCGAAGTGTCCTTTGGGCATAAGGAACCTTCTGTTTCAATGCAGGAAACATGCACACCCATTTCTCCCCTGATCCCAGGACAGTGCAGGATAGGAAGAGGTATTCCAAACTAGATCGTTCTGGAAGTAGCTAACCACTCCACCCATGCACCCAAATTGTCCCCATGGTTGTGCCAGACACTGGCTTCCATCACTGAGGTGGCCACTTGGCTAAAATATTCTAAAATATTCCCCTCGAGATCATTTATTTCATGAGAGTCCCCAATGGCATCTTTTACAATTCTGTCCTTTAAAATTGCCTCTGCGCTGTGGGCACTAATGTTTCCATTTAATTAGCAAGTAAAACTGTCACCCCATGGAGAGATTCTTTGAGGTGTGGCAGGAAAGAATTTAGGGACACACACAGAGGAGAAGCTCAAGTGGCAGTGGCCAGATTTATTAAAGTGAAAGTACACCCTCAGAGGGAGAGGGAGCCCAGCAGGCTCCAAAAGTGACTCTCAGGAGATCTTTATGTGACCTTTCTTATATTCTCTTGGGCTGGGGAAAGAGAGGGTTAATTTTGAACCATCCAATCCCTGAAAAGGGAGGGCTTATTTTTAAACTATTCAACACTACTCTCTGATTTTCCTTGGGTGGTGTCCTGCCATTTTGGCTCTTACCCATTTGGCTTTTGCCCACAAAGCGGGTGAAAACCACAATGCTAATATATTACGATCAGGGTATAATTGAGGAGAGGTCACTTCAATGGGGCTTGTGTGCAGTCTGCGCATTCGCTAATAGTAAGAATTTCCCTTGGCTCCCAGTTCCCCTCCCCAGGATGCCTTCAGTTTTTCCCAAGCCTGTTGACCTGGTGGAACTTTGGCAGTTCCTCTTTGGGGTGATAGCAAACTATTTACCTGCTAAGTCAGCTGTTCTGTTCCTGTTCACTCTCTTTTTGTTAACATCTAACTAGCTGCCTATTCTCTTATAAAACAAGGCCCCAAGGAGGCAGTAATTTGATGAAAACCCTAGAAGGAGTAGCTGAGCTGGGCCAGACGGTTGTCCAGTTCTGCTTAAATGCTCTCTGCCAGCCGAGCTGGGTCTTTTCGCCTCTCCATGTCCCTTTCCTCCCTCTCAAAGTGTGTCATCCAGAGGTTTGAAGGTGGTGTCCTCATTGAAAGCAACAGCCTATACAGAAGTTAGTTATTACTGATAGCAATGTCCAAATAAATTCGACCAGTTTTTGCTTGTTGTGGCTGACACCAGACACCCCTGAGCCCCTGCTTTCAGGCACAGAGCTCTCCGCCTGCCTCCTGCCTCCACACTCCCGCCCCCCGCCCCCCCCCCCCCCCCGCCCAAGAAACAACCTCATCTAGATCTTCCCTGGTGCCCTCATCCAGGTCTGAAACCCCTGCAGGGATGGCTGTGGCCCTCTTGTGTTTCTCCTTAAGCTACAGGCTTTCCCCAGAGATAATATTTGCCTTTTTGTTTCATTTTCTTAACGTTCTATGCACCTACCATTAAATTTCCCCAAACTCACTGCAGAATTTTAAAATTTCTCTCAGTATAGTTAAGTAAATCTGGTAATCCATGGATATTATGTTTTAAGGGCATTATTTTTCTGAAGGCTTTCATCCCCCTGGTCGTGGGCGGCCATCTGAGACGCTCTTTCACTAAGAGCACACAATGTCCTATGTCTCCCTCTTGTTTTCTGAATCTAAGTTTTCTTCTCTCTTGGTTGGTCCCTGTTTTGTTTTGTTTTGTTTTGTTTCTTTTCTGTTTTTTTAAATTGTTGTTCACATTGGAATGAAGAAATGCAAATGCACTGTATTAAATTACTTGAAATTGGGAAGTTGCTTAAGTTTATGAGGAAAATATATCTAGAAGAGTGTGCTAATCACTCTCAGCCTGCTTTTCATTCTCTGAAAACTACAGTGCTGCGTTTGAACATGCCTAAGTTTAATTCATACCAAATGAGACTGGGGAATGCTTAACAGCAGAGTACAAATTCTAAATACAAGCTCTCCTCTTTAGTAGTGAGTAATCTTACATTCACAAATTATAAAACGTGTTCTTTTGGGAGATATTGGATAGTGTCAAAAGCAAAATAAGATAAAACAAAACAAAACAAAAAAGCTCCAAACACCACCAAGGGAGCTGGGACCCGGGGATCCTCCTGTCCTGGCGCCGCCTGTCCAGGAAGGTCGGGGACGAGGAGGTGGGGGGCGTGGGGCGACTGCTGGCACTTGAGCTTCTCCGAAGGAATCCTTCCTCCGCTCTACACTGCGGGGCAGCCTTTCCTAACCTGTGTGCGCGTTCCTTTGTCTTACAAACTGGCTCTGGAGAAAACTCTGCTTAATAGTGCCCTAGGCCTCTGTGGGAGGCGAAGGGGAGATGCTGAGTTGTTGCATTTAACGGGAACCAGCGTGAGAATTGTAACAGCAGTTACTACGTACTTATTCTAAGACTCTTACTAAAGAGTGTCCAAAGGCATAATGTTAAAAACTTCCCATGCAGAATGGTTTTTCATCTTGCCCCAAAACCACAGAGAGGGTAAGGTGTTTGAGCTGAGTCACAGAGCCCGGAGGGGCCGAGGCAGGGCGCTATTTGCGCCAAGAACCATTTACACACAAGATTTTCTGTTAACTTAAATTTTCAGTTTACTTGGGTAAACACTTACGAATGTGATTGTTGGGTCAGGTGGTAAGTCTATGTTTAATTTTATAAGAATCTGTCACCCGTCTTCCAAAGTAGATGTATCATTTTGTATTCCCACTGGCAAAATAAATAAGAATCTCTTTCGGGACACATCCTCAGCAGTTAGTTAGCGATATTGCCAGGTTTTTAAAAATGTTTTAGCCATTGAAATAGATGTTAAATTGTCGTTTAATACTATTATAAACAGTCTGTTATTCTGTAAGTAATCTAGTTTTATTTTTATTATTTCATAATTAAAATTAGCAAATTTTTCTTTGTGTTCTAGAAAATTAGAAATTTCACCAGTGTGTCTGTGTGCCCTCCCACCCGCCACTGTCTTTCCAACAGAATTACTTAAAGGAGATCTAAAAAATGGTATTTGTGTATGGTTGAAGCTTTGCTTTCCCTCTATCTTCATTATTCTGCTTATAAGAGCTCTGTTTTCTGGAATTTGAATCAACCATCTCTTTACTTCACATATCTTTTCCAAGAACTGGCATTTGTTTCACTTCAGGCTTCATGAAAACTTTTTGAGGAGTATCCTCAAATACTACTTTTTCTCCAGTTTATTTGGGTCTTTATAGCTTTTTTTGTTTGTGGGGTTTTTTTTTCTTTGCTTTTCTAATAGTTCCTTTTGTAGAATCTTCAGTTATTTTTAAGAAATCAATATAATTAATTAGACATCAATTAGTTTTAATTAAGAATTTAAATTTAACTAAGATGTTAAAATTTTTAAAAAAATGTATTTTCTTTTGTTTTAATTAAGTTTTAATTAAGAATTTAAATTTAACTAAGATGTTAAAATTTTAAAAAAAAATGTATTTTCTTTTGTTTTGGAAGCCGTTGGCTCTAAATGTCCAGTTCCTTTACATCTCTTTTACAATATCTCTAATCTTGTGACTGCACTTAGCAGACATTGAATATGTCTTTTAAAATGAATTTTTAATTATAGATGTTACATATGTATTACGAAGGAGGATTTTAGAGAGTGGAAAACATTTTTTGTATCTTTAAAATCACATAGCACTTCAAGTTGTTAAACTAAGGCAGATGCAAAGAGACTAGTGGGAAGTATATATGAACGCCACTGTGTGACAGGAAATGGGAAAACCTACTTCAACAGTCATTCGGTCTTCACAACAATTCTGTGAGACCAGAATTTCTCCTATTTTATAAATAAGGAAGCAGAATTATAGAGGTTAAGTAACTTGTTCAAAGTTATATAGCTACTAACTAATAAAACCAGAATTCAAACTCGGACCTGCCAGAATCAAAATCTATATTCTTCCTATTATAACTTCTTATCATCCCTGCGGGGTTGTTAGTTCTCCTGGGACCAAGAAGTTTCACTGGTCCTTACATACTCTTGGAAAACATCTCTCATCTTATCCCACATGGATTTACAGACTTATCTTAAATGAGTCTACAGTCTTAAGGCTGTAGATAAGATAAGTCGACAGATAAGCAGAACCTACAGAACCTGACAACCTTGACCTTATAAACTCAGAAATTCTCTTGACTCAACTATCCTGTGAGGGCCCTACGGTGCTATCAAGGTGGGCTCAATCAGAGAGGCAGGGGAGCACTGGCAATGTGACATGGAGTGAGGATACTGGGACGTTTTGGTGCTTGTTCTTTCCCAAGGAGATCTTATCTATCGGCTTGCCTGAAAGTTACAACCAGACTGTCTTTCTAAACAAATACTTGTTGATTATCTAGGTATTATTTTTGTGCAGGCTCTGCAAATTCTAGGGAAACACATGTGTCAAATCAGAAATAGGTCACTTGACTCTTCAGGAAGGATGGGATCCTTTTGTCAATAAGCTCGGTGACAATAGCTGGTGTCCTTATGTCAGCTGACTCAGTTCCAGAATGCTGAGAAAGAACAGCAGCATTTAAATACGATGGTGAGGAGGGGTTAAAGAGTACAATATAAAAAATACATACCTTGTTCACTTGAGTTCGAAGCTGGTGACTCTCGATCAAGTGAGAAAGTTTGTTGGCAATTTCCATCCAAGGTCTATAATGATCTGGAAGTTTTTTCTGCATTCAAAACAGAAATATCTCTGTATTTTTAGACCTCTCTGAGAAGCAGCTCCAGAGAGTGGCTGCTTTGAGATTTCACTATATGCTGGGCCCTGTGCTCAGCAATGCAGATGCACAGAGTAAAATCTCTGTGCTTAAGGAACGTAAGGTTTGCAAAGGGAGAAAATATGTAGTGAGATAAGTATCAAAATAATGTGTTCCATTACTGATGTGTGTATAAGCTTAAGAACTTGGAAAGAGGAGAAAGTACTTAATTTATCAACTGCTGTAGAGAATTAAAGGGAAATATATGCAGAAATATGACAGCTGGGGCCAGCTGCAGAACCTGAGAGTGACTTTTCTATGTGGAAATTTGAGGATGGGAAGGCAGTAAAACAGAGGGGATAGTGGATAAACAGAGGGGTTAGTGGATAAACAGAGATAATTATGCTTCTTGGGAGTATAAATGATTCATTATTAGAATATAAAGCTCAAGAAAAGAGTGATGGCATATTCTGTCCAAATGACAAAACACTGCAAGTGGGAACTCTACAGGAATAACACTGCATTTATCAGAAAGCTCTGTGGTTTATTGGAAACCCCATATTGGAAACTCATATTGGCAAATTTTGGTGGCAGAGACCTTTTGTTGACAAAACAGGATCAGCCACATTCCTATCTGTATTAAGCCCACCTGAATCCCTAATAAATAACAGGAAAGTAAACACTTTTCAGCCAATAGGAGTGAGCCACGCCCTGTGAGTGGCTCATAAAAGGTAGACACAGCAGTCAACTCTTACTTCTGATTCTGGACGTGTCACAGGGAGGGTCTTTAATTTGAGCTCGGAGATGGATTCAGGAACGGAAAAATTAGACTCCCAGAGCCCCTCCATTAGAGGCACCATTGACCAGCCTCCCCTCCAAAAGAACTCTTTCGAAGAAAGGCACTCAGATGTGGATCAGAAACTACTAGAAGAAAAAGTCAAGACTTCTTCCCAGTTAAGAGAGAATGGCGTCCAAAGACGAGGGTCAGAGGCCAAGACAAATGAGAAAGAGAATTGTACGAAGAGGAAATTCAAAGGCAGAAACAGCTGTCATCTATCAGAAGCAGAACGCTGCTCCAACTGGGAGAGCTCCCGGAAGAGGAAAAGCGGTTCCAGGGACAGCCCCCGCAAGGGAGCCGGGGCCGCTCTGCAAGAGATGTACAGTGTGACTTTGGAAAAGATAGGAGAGGTCTCTGATACTGACCAAAGTGGTGACAGCAAAGAGACTGGAAATGCCTGCCATAGGAGAGCCCAGAGAAGGTGCACTGAGCATAGCAAGCGGCCCAGATCGCAGTCGCCGGGAGCGCAGACGCCTCTACTTCGGAAATGCCTGGTGATGTCCCTTCGCACCATGTCTGAGGCAATTTATCAGAACATAATTCTGCTGCAGGACCAGCAGCGTCCTTCCCCGCTAAGCTGGGAGAAGTATGCTATGCTCGCCCAGCTGCGGGAACATCTGTGCACCCAGGAGCAGACCATCTATGCCATGGCCACCCAGGCAGCCTTTGCCTTCCCTGCTGAGGACTGGCTTGTCCCAGCCCCTCTGCCAGGTCCCTGGGGTCCAGCACAGGATGACCGAGAAGCCCAGAGCCCCTTCTAGGTGACAGACCTGGCAAGGTCTGCCTCTTCCCCAGACAGGAGATGACTGAGGCTGCCCGTGAATTGGATTTGGGCTCAGCTAAGGACACTGGACCCCACTCAGCTGATGCAGCTGATGCAGCTCTGGGGCTACATCAGGGCTCTACCCATTCCCAGATTGTACCAGATGACCAGCAGGGCCTCTTTTTCAGGCAATGTGTTACTAGTAAGTTGTAAGAATTGTCATTAAAAATTTTTAAAAACAAGACTCAGATGATGAACTCTGGGTTTCCTTGAGGACTAAATTTCCAAAGTGTACATTTTATGTTAGACATTTTCATGTATTTTGAATATCTTAGGAGAGCCAAACATTATTTGAAAATAAGAACAAAAATATCGGTGAAATTCTCAATGGAATACTATGCAGCAGAAATAAAGAAGGAGCTCCTACCCTTTGTGACAGCATGGATGGATCTGAAGAACATTATCCTAAGTGAAATACGCCAGGTGGTAAAAGAAAAATACCATATGATCTCACTTATAAGTGGAACCTAATCAACAAACAAACAAGCAAGGAAAATATAACCAGAATCATTGAAATAAAGAACAAACTAACAGTAACCAGAGAGAAGAGGGGAGGAAATAACGGGCGGGGGGAGGGAAGGGTCATCAAGGAACATGTATAAAGGACCCACGGACAAAGCCAAAGGGAGATAGGATTGAGGGTGGGAGGTGGGGGTGGGTGGGGGTGGGTGGGGGTGGGTGGGCCCCGGGGGGATAAGTAGGGGGAAATGGAGATAACTGTAAACATGTAACATGGAGATAACAATAAAAGAATTTTTTAAAAACAGAGAGGGTGATGGCAGATGAGATTACAAAATCAGATCAAATGTACTTTTTATAGAATATGTAAGAATTTTTTTATGTAAGTTGATCCCATTATTTGATTTGAATTTTAGGAAGTTAATTTTTTTATAGGATTTTAAGATACACAGTCAGATTTGGAAGCCTTTGAAATATTGTTGAAGGACTAAATATAAGCGATGGAAATGAATTTGGAAACGAGAAAACATGTATTCAGAAAATATTCTGAAAGTAAAATTAAAATGACATGATGCTTAGATTTAGAGGTGAGGGTGCTAAAGGCAAGGTGATTCCTCGCCCAGTAGCACCATAGATGTGCCCATTCTGGGCCCATGATTTAGCTAAGTAGAACATAGGCTGGATTTGAGGAATCCTGACTCAATCCCAGGAAATGACACACTATGCTTACTGCTGTAATTAAATTTTATTGGAACACAACCACGTTCATTTTTGTTTATAAATCATCTATAGCTACTTTTCATTACAGCAGCAGAATTGTATAGTTACAACAGAAACTATATGATGTCAAAGCTTTAAAGTATTTAATATTTGGCTCTTTACGAAAAAAGTTTACCGACTCTGATGTATCTCATAGTCTGGGCCTCCTTTTTTTTTTTTTTGAATCCTTCCTTACTCAAGGACATTTTTTCATTTCTTGGTGTGGGGACGGAGAGAGAGAGATTAATTGGTTGCCATCTTGTACACACCCTGACTGGGGACCAAACCAGCAACCTAGGTATGCTCCCCAACTGTGAATTGAATCAGCAACATTTTGATCTACTAGATGACATTCCAACCAACTGAGCCACATCGGCCAGGGCTGGACCTCCTTTTGGGGAGTATAATCTGCGCAACTGAATGTTGTGGCTCTGCATTAGGAAGGAAAGGAGGTAAGGGCGATTTCCATGTTTGTGAATTAGGTGACTGAATGAATTGATGGGAACACAAATTGAAACAGAATTGCAGGTTGAAATGAAGGGAAGGGCTTAAAGATAGTGAATTTCTTTTTTAGATAGATACAGCCTAAAATATCTGTGGAATGTCAAAATATTGTATGCTAGGAAGTTGGATATACAGTTTGAATGAGAAAATTAATACTAGAAATATACAACTATGAAACTGACTGTAGAACTAATGCGTTGTGGTAAAAACCGCAACAATGGAGAAGGTCATAGGGTAAAGTTTCTAAATGAAGGAAGATGCCCTAGAGCAACACACTGGGGGATACTTTCAAGGCAGACAGAGGAACTGAATCCAGCAATACAGATCAAAAAGGCATTTATAAAAGGTCAGTGAAGGGAGTTACCCTACATAAGTCATGACATTAGGGTGTTTTACAAAAAGTGGGAAGTTCAGAAAGTCAAATGAGATGGTTCCCTTTGGGGGGAAAATACCCCAAAACTAAGAAGTCTTTCATTGTCTATGGCATAGAAATGTAATCAGGGTCATGGGAGCCGGGTTGAAATTTTACTGTGCTGAAGAAGTAAGAAAATAGAGACCAAAAATGTAAATTACTTTTTTAGGAATGGTCATAGGCATTGGCAAGGGGGAAATTTGTGTTTGAGGGCTACGGCCATTTAAGAATGAGACACTTAAGCCATTTTACTCTGACTATAGCAGGGAGTGAGTGAAAAGAAGAGTGAAGACTTAGCAAGAATAAAGGCAGAGACTTATAGCAAAGTGGCTCTGAACTGACAACTCATTTTTTGGTCTCAATTATATGATGCATATGTTTTATGAACAAAATTGAGTGTAGTTACAGAAACAATGGAATATAATCTTCATAAAGGAAAATCAAAGATGCAGATTTGCAGATATTCAGGTCTTTTAAAGTGGGTTTTTAAAAAAGAAGTTGTAACTAAATCAGCACCTCTGTGCTTTCTTCTTTGATGCCCAGATAAGAAATCCTGTCCTGAGAATTACATTAAGCATCTGGATTTCTGCTTCCCAACTTGCACGGAAATTCTTAAATAGCACATTTTGCCTCAGTCTAAGTGGCACTCTAGTCTTCAATTTTTACTTTTTCTTTTCCTTTATATTGCTAGAAGAGTCTTTCCCTTCTTTCTCTTTTTCATCTTCTCCCTTCTTTAAAGAATTCTAATTTTTGGACTTTTGTATTACCATACAAACACACACACACACACACACACAAAACATGAGTTTTGAGAGCCTTTGACCTTTCCAACTGTGGTCCCCAGTGAAGCAACTGGACATCACTTGGGAATTTGGTAACAATGCAAACTCTGGGGTCACCACCCTAGGCTTGATTTGGAGGGGTCCCAGCAGTATGTGTTTTAGCAAGCTCAAAAGGTGACGCTGAGGCACCCCAAAGCTTGAAAAGTACTGCTCTGGGGACCTTCAAAGTGATGAAGAGGGAGAGAAAAAGTCTAAGGATGTTTCACGATGCATTAAACATGTACTCTTTCTTTTGTCTTTTCCTGTAGAGACTGAAGAAAGTATTGAATTTTGTAAATTACTTTTTGATATCAGACTTTTTTTTTAAAGTTACACTGTGGAAGACAGTTTCAGCTG